GGAACGGACGGGGGAGGGGCGGGTACAGCTGGCTCTGCCTCTAGATAGGCAGAGCCAGCTGTCACTCACGCAGCTGGGCGGATCTCGACGTCTAAGTCGGGATCCGCTCCGGCGTCTCAGTATACCGCGAGCTATAGCTCGCGGTATACTGAGCTTAGGGTAACGGGAGGACGCTAGTTTGTGTCCTCCCGTTACCCTAAGGAGAACTATGGGGAAAAACACTGACCCCATAGTTCTCCTTTAAGTGTGTCTATGTGTCTTAATTTGCTTCCGATTACTGTATTTCAATATTAATATGAAGTCAATACAGAGTTTATGTTATGATACGGTACATGGTATAGTATGGGGTATGGCATTAGTTAGACCTATTTTTAATAGTAACTCTTAAGCAACCAGAAACAACATTTGTCTGTAATCTACCAATCCCTGGGGATACCGGATAATGGGGAGTTTATTGTATGTATACTGTTACAAAGGTATCATAGAAAAATTACTTACATGAGGCACATCCAAAACTGTGAGCAGAGGGAGCTTATTTAGTTCTGTATTTATGTTTGTGTTATTATCATAACTTTCCACCATATGATGTGACAGATTCCTCCTGTGGTTTGACTGTAAAGCAAAAAAATGAATAGCACATGTAATTCATTGTTTAATCATTCAGTCTATCCATCTGTCCGTCTATCTCTCTGTCTGTTTGCCATTATTGAGATGTCAAGCAATACAGTCATATCACTGCTAAAATCCCTGCCAAATCCATGCAAATCCCTGCTAAAGGAGTACAAATACTTACCTTGTGGGTGGGTCCTTGCAACCCTCACATACAATGCAGAACTGCTGGTAGCCTGCAGGGAATAAAGTAAGTATTTGTACTTATTCCTCTCCCCCTAGCCAAATGAGCATTTAACCCATGTAATGCAGAGGGGACTCCACTTCATGGGTACATTTTACAGCAGTCTGAAGTTGGGCTTTATTATGGCTGGATTTATAATTTAACTTTCCCTCCCCCCTTCTGGCTGTCTTCTGTTCCCCCCATTTTTAAAGTGCACACCCATGAGTATCTTATCTGGTCAGTGGCGTTACAAGGCGGGTGCGGGGGGTGCGGCCCGCACCCAGGTGTTACCATTGGGGGGGTGACACCAAAATTACTGAAAGTCACCCCCTATGAAAAGTTGGGCACTCGGTCACGGACCGAAAGCCCGACAGTGTCAGGAGAGAGGAGGGGACCTGGCGGCATACCTCATCCCGCCGGGTGAACGTCCCCTCCTCTCTCTGCAGGCGTCCATAAGACGACCGCACATGCGTGATGATGCCATCGCGCACGCGTGATGACGTCTCGCTGGGGTGTCACCCAGTCTCCGCTCCGGGTGTCACCCAGCCTCGGGACGCCCCTGTATCTGGTCACTATAAATTAATAAACAATTTACTAAGAATATACTAACATAAAAGGAGGTTATTAAAAACAGTAGGCAAAAACATAGTACATAGTAACCATTGTCACTGAGACAGAAAGATGAAAAATTCAAAATTCAAAATTTTAGAGTTCTCAACAGAGCAGGAAGTGAGGCAAAATCCTCCAATTGGGTCACTTGTTCCTATGACAACTGTCTCAGATTAGGAATTGTACTTACTTACATAGATGTACTCTCATTTCCTGTCCTGACTCCAGGACAGAAAATGAAGGGAATACTCAGAGGGACACAGACAGCAAAAAAATTACCTGATAAGGTCTCTAACTCTTCCCTACTCTATTTAAACTAAAAAAAGTTTTGGCATTACATGTACTTAAATAAATAATTAAGTGTCCATTCACACCCAAATCGGAAGGAAATCGCAGCAACGGAGGGTCCGTTGACTTGCAGTTGTACCTTTCCGATTTCCTTACGATCTGTTGCATCGTGATACGTTTTCCAACAGATACTAACAGAAGGGCACTGGAAAATGAATGGGTGTGAATAGGCTAGTTCACACTGGATCTGTTGCATTATGTTCCACTGAAAAAAAGTAGTGCATGCGATATTTTTTTTCCAGCACAGCATAACGTAAAGCAATATAATGCAACGCAACGGAGCAGTGTGAACAAGCCCCATTCACATCCATTCCCTTTTCGTTGCCCTTCCGTTAGCATTCATTGTTAAAAAACTGATCGCAACTTAATGAATGCGATGTGAATGGGTCCTACATGTATTTTTCAATGCAACATGTCTAAGTGCTTAGTATTCATTGTTTTACAAACTATTTCAAAGGAATAAAAACTATCGAAAATAATATAACCAGGACTGGACAGCAAGACACGATCTGACTCAGTATAAAATAGACAAACTTAATGAGTGGAATTGATCAAAACTGGAGTATACAAAATCAGGAGCAGCTGTGCATGGCAACCAATCAGCTTCTATCTTTCATTTTTTAATCTTAACTGAACAAACTGAACAGAGAAGCTGAATGGTTGCCCTGGGCAATTGCTCCAGATTTGTTCTGCTCCAGTTTTAACAAATTCCCCTCAATGTGTTTATATGAGTTTTAAAAGAGCAGATGACAATATATATTTAATATGCACATATAAATCTAATTACTCATACATTTTTAATAAGCACATTTGATGTGCCTTATATTGTAGTAATAAAATCCAAGTTTACCCTGGGCCTCTGTGAATTGGAGAGAACCATAGACCTGGTGTAACTAAGTTTTGGTATGTGAAGATCAGGCCTCCGAACATCACAGCTTGGGCTGTTCAGACTGCTGCAGGAAGAAGACAAGCTGCTAATAGATGATGTGTTCTGCTCTTCATATGATTCAGTGATCTGAAAATAAGATATAAAAAAAAAAACACATGACCATATGCACATATGTAACTGTTGATGATTTCCTTGAAGCTGATGGATGATTAAAAAAACAAACTAAACCACTTGGTTCTATTGATCACACAATGCAACACAATAGAATGTAAAAAAAATACTGACTTAGACAATGCAAACAAAGGAAACAACCCAAGGCAGTGATACATAATGCTTTGTGAAAATATGCCAGGGCTTCTCATCCTTCCTGCTGGAATTAAAACACTCTGAAAATTACTTTTTCACCCAATATGCATGAGTTCAACCACTGCCGAGTATAACAGAGGACATTGACATGCTGTGTCCAAAAATGTCCAACCCACTTTTTAAAGTATCCAATACACAATGCATTGAAACAGCATTGAAGCAATTTGATTCTGTGGATGAATACTTGAAAATGAACCTGTGGTTTGCCTATGCAACAGGTTCATTCAATTATACGCACATTCTCTTTGTTCTCCCACCGCACCAACAGAAATATCTGTGAAAGCTCAAAAGGTGCTCTGGTTGGAGCTTACACAGGTCTAAGGTCTTCCTGCCCACCCCCATGTGATGGGACTGGTGATCGGTCACTTAGACACCCACAGCTAGATTGTGGAAGCCAAGGAGTCATCGCATAAGGTCACATGCTTCCCATATCCAGAAATACTGGGTACTTCTTTACCTTCCAGGTAGCAGAACTGAGCACAGGGAGGACAAAAAGAAGATCAGTGTATGACGGGGGGAGGGGTTGGCATTTAACCACTTCATCTCTTGCACTTGTAAAATGAACCTGAACAATTTTTACATTTCTGCTATGGATCTATTGATGGAGCAATAACTTTGTTATTACTTAGAGTGACATTAAAGTCATACATATCCCCCCATGCTGTTTTAAGGACTTACCTTAAATGATGGCTCTTGATCCAATCATTTTCTTTCTTCCACTTGTATTCAGCAATCCCTCCAGCGCTGGTGCCGGTCTCTGATCCAGCGCAGACTGTTGTCTCTTCCTGTCCCGCGGTGTCTGTCCGATTTGCACGCTCCCGGCTGTGTGCATTCAGCTCCACTGTGTCTCTCCTCTTCTCCCCACTAAAGATCTGTACTGTGTATGTGGCCGCCCATCATCCTGCTCGGCTGAGATCTTTGGACGGGAGCGAGCATCGGTGACAGAGATAAGTAATTACCTTTTTGGTAACTTTTTTTATTTTTTAAAATGTTTTTGCATATACTGTAGATATATGCAAAAAAAAAAACCCAGAGAGTTTATTTCTACCTTAAGATAACAAATGAATACGTATATCAGAAAACACACAGCTTCCTTTTGGCTTATTGTCTTGCAAAAGTATTTTATGTATATGCAATCAAAACAAATCAAGACAAAACAAATCAAATACACTTTTCCCAATTTCACCAGTGTTAGTTTTAAAACTAGCGCTACATAGATACAAAAGGAAAATCTTTTTTCTAAAATGTGTCCCCTTTATAATGACACAAAAAATTACATTTCTGTCTAATATAAAGTATGGTGCAGTTATTAACAACTGATATAAAGAAGTGTTTACAATGCAACACTAAAAAAAACTTGAAAACAATATATAATTGTTAATGGTTTGAAAAATATAAATACAAATCAGCAGACAAATAATAGGGGAGGCAGGCGTTAATTAGAACGGATTGTGGTTACCTAAGGGTTAATAACGTGTCAAATAGCAACAAGTCTTACTTTAAAAAAAAAAACTTTTATTTTTTTCTAAGGTTTCGTTAACATGATATGCATATCTAAGGATGTACCTTTGATTTGCATCATATTAAAAATGATGCTACAATAATGTTGTTGCATAGTACTTATTAGTGAAGCTTCATTTTACACAATGGCTACCGGTGCACAGAGTGAGAGCCAGTTGAGGCTCACCAATCATAGCAACTGAATGCTTGTGCAAAAAGGCCTGAGTAAATACGTATGGAATACACGGCTAAAGATAAAATGATTACGTTGTTATGGCATATGCCATATGTCCTAGGTCTGTAACTGGTTACTGAACCATGTGAATCAAGCTGTCATGTGTGCCACTGCTCACTTCATATTTTTGGCAACCCAGCAGCAGGTTCTTGCTGAGATTGTGGTACAAATACATTAAGTCAGCCTGTTCACAGGATCGAGGGAACCTAATTATTTTCTCAGAAATGTCATGCCTGAGGCAATGAAGCACCCTGGAAAGATTTGTCTGGAAAGAGATCACTATTTCAGGTATGTACTTGAAATATAAACTGAAGGGCTTGATACATAGCAACCAGCCAAATCTCAGATTACTGAAGTCTGATGACTGATAGATAAATTCTGATTCTTTGCTGTAGGCTGTGTCATTATCATTTTACTTTTTGCCTTTATTAACAGCCAGGTCATGCTGTTAACCTGGATTTTGTTAACTGCCTGACATGAATGTGAGTGAGCTATAATCATAGTACAGATACTTTGGGGCATTGCTATAGTAAATGTGACAAGCAGTGGATGTTTTCCAACCCAGTGATGAATTACTCTGTCAACAATAGTCTATTAAAAAAAACATGTCACTGCTAATTCAAATGATATTTTAGGACAACACGTTTCCTTAGTTTTCATGCGATGGAATTCCCCTGGTTGCAATCCAAAGCCTGTACATAATCATTAAGTAAACATTTTTGGTTTCACAACTAGGTTTGTAGAAAGGGAGTGTGAAACACAGTCATTATTTAAAATATGCTTTATACCACTGATGTTTGCTTGCTTTCTTCACTTCAATAGTTATGTGAATATTTTATTACCATTATAAAAAAGTGTGCTGCCACAGCTCATTCACGGCATCTGTCAATTTTTGCAATAGTAGAAAGATCAGCAGTGAAGTCCTAACACTGTATCCAGTGTGCTGTACACAGAGGCGTCCCTATAAAGGGTGGAGGGGGGTGCTGGTGGTGCACGTTACGTTGGGGGCGGTTGTTGGCAGAGCACATTATATATGGGGTGGGGGACGCGGTGATATCGGCGGTGGTCACTGGTTGCCAGGAGCTGGGCGGGACGCAAGCCAGAGTGTTCTGCTCTGCTCCTGGCAACCGTTGACGTCAGTGAGCTTGGCGAGACATCGGCCAGAGCATCACAGGTTGCTAAGAGCTCTTAGCAACCTTAGAAGCTCTTATTAGAAAGGGGATGGCAGGCACACCTGCTGCCCCTCCACGTGACCCAATGAGATGCCGCATGAGGCAACCACCTAAGGATGCCTCATTATGGGGATTGCCCTGGCTGAACAGTTTAAGCTCTTCGCTATTTCTATGTGCTGACCTCCTCTTACATGTACATATGAGACAGGGACGCCTTTCAAAACAACGTATGTAGGCAAAGAAAAACTCCTCTCTACACCCCCAGTCATGTGGACCAAAAAGTATTTATACAGAAAAACATGACTAGTTAAACCAACAAAAAATGTGTTTTATATTGGCTTTCCAAAATGACAAATGCTATCTTTAAAGAGAAACTAAACCCAATGATTTAACTGTTTCCAAAAGCAAGGCTTGTTCACACCACATCAGTTGATCTGCATTGGTGTGCACAGTTGATCTGCATTGATCTGCTATTGGAATTCGTAGCTGTGCCGCCCCAATAGGGGCATAGAATATGAGATGCATAGCCTCAGTTAATATTAGCATTGTTATATAGGTTAGAATTTATATAGTGTGATTTGCCTAACTATTTTCTCATAGCTAAATTCATGTGTTATCCTATGCTGCCATCTAGTGGCCTTTTGTTGTAACAAACATGTTTTCTGTAATTATTCCTCATGTGACGATGTATTTCCCCCTAGTGTACGCCCCTTCCTTCTTCCTGTGTGCAGTACTTCCTGTGTCATGGCCACAGTTAGAAGCCACATGTAACAAGGACAAACATGTAATCTGCACAGTACGTAGGAAAGGCATCATTTTCTGACCGCACAATACTATAACCATTCAACTGCTGTTCCTATCATCTGCTGTAA